ACAACCCCTCCAAGGAAGGTATCTGGTCCCAGGACAGCTCTGCCATTATCAGAGAAGGTCAGCAGCCTCACCAGTGGCAGGAGGCAGGCTGGCCCGGTGAGGGTTAATCTGCCGGGCCAGCCATTACAGGGGTCACCGTGATGTGCAGAGAAGTTGAGCATCCCAGTCCCCCAGAGCTGGTCTGCTAATTACATTTGCAATTATAAACACCACAACCTCCCTGCACAGGGACGAAGCCACACCGGCCGACGGGGCTACCAGGATATAATCCCACCCCAGCCATGCCAGGGGACACCAGGGCCACCCAAAGCCTATGAGCCCCTCCTCCGAGGGAAAACCACATCTGTGACTGTCCCCGGAGGTCTAAGGCTGCTGGGGCTGAGGAAGGAAGTGGAAACCTACCAGAGAAGGAGAAACCGCCCAATCAGGGGTCACCAGCTCATACATGCTAAAAAGGTTTTTGATTTATCTCTAGAAATCAGCAAAGGCTTCAAGTGCAAAGCAGGATGTTCAGGAAGACTCTGGACCAGATATGCCTAGTTCCAGCCCATTCTCAACTTGTACCCTCCTGGCTTCCTGGGGCCCCTCCTCAGACTCTGCACTGGCAGCACCTCTAGGGGCTGTAGAGTCACTGGAGGACCCCAGAGGCTGAATATTCAAGTCAAACTGAGGCGCCCCATCCCAGTAACTTTCAGTTAGGAGCCACCAGACTCCATATGGAACTGTACGGCCTCCTCGCTAATTCTGGACAGAGCTCCTGCTCAGCAGCAAGAGCACTTAGAGGGTCTCACTTCAGAGAGAAATGGACAGAGACCCAACGGTGGCCGGTAGGTGTGGTGGGACACCAGAATGGAGGTGATCAAGGTGTGGTGTGGGCTTTACTTTGAAAGAAGACATTACGGTCTAAATATCTGCTACCTCTTCCCTTAAATTTGGAACCAAAAAGAACTGTAACCATTTTGAAGTTACTTAAAGGGCCTGGGAAGACAAGTACTAGAGAAGGGTGCTGCAGAGGCAGGCCAAAAGCATCCTGTTTCCTGTTGTCTACTGTCTTTTTGAATTCTGTCCCCTTCTGAATCCCAGTCATTCATGGCCAACGCCACCACTCACCCCAATACACACACTCCCTCAATGTCTCTCTCACACCCATCCTTCCTCCGGCCCGCCAAAGGTAGGCAGAGCTTTACTTAAAAGAAACGAGGTGTTCTGCAGAGGACCGAGGAAGGGGACAAACTTTTTCAATGAGTTTAGATGATCTTTAAGAACCACTTGGCAAAATGTCCAATTATCAGGCAAATAAATGGAGCGCAGGCAGGACAAAGTTATAAGGGCCCCCGGGGCTAGGGCCGGGGGTGCTGTGAGAAGTCAGGATGTGACATGAAATCTCTGTCACTGCCACCTCCTTCGAAGTGCTTTCCCTGAAAGTCTCCTTTGCCCCTCCTCTCCCAGACTAAATGGAATATTTATTGATTACTCCAAATCAATAGAATAAAAAGGTTCCTGTTTGGTGGCCAGGTTCTTTGTGGGTTTTTTGTTTGTTGTTGTTGTTGTCGTTTTTTGTAAGAAACAGATTTTTTTCATATGTCCTCATTATCAGCAAAATAAAGGATTGTTTCTAAAATGAAAAGGGCTGGGGGAAGTAACAAACTCCAAGAGGAAATTTCCAGTGATATCAGGATCTCACTGAGCTGGAAAGGGCCTTACCCCAGACAGGGGCCTCCAACATTCACCTCAGGTCTCCTCCCCGTTTGTCGCCTTCAGGCCTGAACACCTCCCACCTCCTGTCACCCATCCTCTTCCACGGCAGCGCATACCTCCAGCAGGGTGACAGGCACATAAAGGTTTATTTCCTAGAGCCCCTCCCTTGGAAAACCGAGACTAATGTCCTCACTCTGATTTATTTTTAAATGTACCATTAAAAATTAATTTCCCCCTTTGTTTTTCTCCGGGTCACTGACTCTGAATTACCATGTGGCATTTTTCCTACGTGTGAACCCACATATTTAACTTCAGGACAGTTTGTTCTTTGTTTCTTTAACAACAGCAAAGTGGTCATCGGACCCAGGGGAAGACACCCCCCCCCTCGACTGGGCTGTGTGCGGTGGATCTCCAGCTGGCCCAGTCATGGACCCATTTGTACACAGACACACACACAGGCAAGCACACTGCCTTCCACTCTGCTCTGGCTGATTATAAATGTACATAAAATATTGATTAGAAAGGGTAATGGAGTCACCTACAGGATTGGCCACAGGAAAATGAAAATGAAGGAAAGAAAGGTAGGAAGGTAAGTATGTTTCTCTGTGTGTGTGTTATTTCTCACCTGGGGAAGTCAGAATGACACTACAGCATTCACAAATGCCCTCTGTGTGTTAGAAGCAAAAGGGAAGACCAGAGAGTGCTTCCTCCCTCAGCTCGTTCCTGTGCCCTTGGGTTTTCTCAAGTCTGGGAAGGTCAACCAATCCACATGGGTCAAAACTCTGATTAGAACATACATGAACCCACTCACTAAACGTTTCCTGAGAAACGCCAGCACTGTAATGAATGGCTTTGTCCTACTACCCTTCCACCAAACCAAAGAATCCAGTCCCCTGCTCTGTTACTTTGCTTTCCATGGCTCTGAAGCTATGTCACAAAGCCCTGGGGTAGAGGTCAGAAAGCTGTCTCCCCAGACACCAGCCCCAGATCTCCACAAGCTCGTCCTTGAAATGATGCCCCTCTATGCCACAGCGTATGCAGACCCTCCCTGGGCACACATCTGTATAGGAGCCCAGCTCACCAGTGCCTGGGCTGCTGCCCAGAGGTCCTGGGCTTTGAGAAATGACATCTCACAGGGGTGTTCAGTTCCTCGGTGGAGGCGGCAGGTATATTTTTGGCTTTTCCTGTGCCCTGTGGAGTGACAAGCTAATTCTCTGCAAAGAAACCGGGAAGAGTTGGGGATCTAAACCCCTGTCAAGCTTCATTTATAAATGATTTCCACTTCAAACCTGTCCCAGACCCCCAGGACCTTGGCTCCCTCACTTCCTTCTGCTGCTTCCCTGACATTGCCTTTTTGCCCATATTTCTCCTCAAACTCCAGTCAGGGCTGCCGTCAACTCGATGAATTACCCAGCTGTTAAAGCCTCCATCTCAACCCTTGCTTTCCTGGTCAGCATAATCAAATAATATACTTCCTTCATACGAATTTTCATATTTATTGACTATGACTTGAGCCAGGGACAAATACATAAGTATTTCATGCTCAACTAAAGAAGTCACCTCTGGAGAGAAGGAGCCTTAATAATTTAAATATCCAATATTTGTCATACTTGATCACTTTATGTAAGGAAATGCCCCACAAGCACCAAATACTGTCCACAGCCTCACTAACCTCACGTTCCCCCACCCCATCCCCACCCCAGGTAGGCAAGCTGAAATCTAACCTTTAAAAGGAATGAAAGGCACTTTCCAAGCTGATGGAAATCTGAATCCATTATGATTAAGGATTCCTCTTCCAGACCAGCACCTTAGACATTCTGGGGGCATCTAAAGGGCCCTCTGCCCCAGGGTGGAGTGGGGAAAATCCTCAAGCTAGAAGCAGGGACAGTCTGGTCAACAACACAAGCCCTGCCATGGAGCTGCGCTCTCTCTAGCGCGGGTGTACAGTGGTGGAGGTGATCCGTGCAGACAGGAGAGGAGCAAGGTGCTTCCTGGGACCCCACATTATCCACAGTTATTTATTTTAGAGGTGTAGTCGTGGTTCTTGCTGGGAGGGGGAGCGAGTGGTACACAAATGGAAGGACCGTGGAACTGGAGAAACGCTGACTTTGATAGTTTAGTTTGCGTCAGAAAAAAAAAAAAAAAAAAAAAAAAAAGGAAGAGCACAAAGTTAAGCAGGAAAGCTGTCCGTGAGAACCTAGAGTTGTGTTTTACTATTATTATTAAACCTTCTGAGGGACCACTTTGCACACGCATACACCCTGACTCCGGGACACCCTCCAGGCGCGCCGTGGGGTGCGAAGCGCCCTAGAGGAGACTCAGGCAGGTACCCGAGCAGGTGGGACAGCGGCCGTGGAGGAGGGAAACCTCCTAAGGTTTCCCTTAGGAGGACAGACTTAGACCCCCCACCCCCCACCCCCCAGAGCCGGGACAGATCACGCGGGTTGGCCACCCGCTGCTTGGTCGATCAGGTCACTTTCCCACTCCTCGCTCTCGGCGCGCTGCCCCGGGGCTGGGGACCCGCGGTTCCTGAGAGTCGCTTCTGGAGGCCCCGGCTGCCGCCCCGCGCCCACGCCGCTCGGATAACCCCAGGTTCTGGCACCGCGAGCGCAAAGCCGCCTCGGGGCAGTGAAATAGTGCCCGTCTGTTCCGGCGGGCACAGCCTCCAGCAAAGCCGTGAACGAACTTTGCCTAAGACGCAGCGCTGGGCCCGCATCCTCCGAGCGCTCCGATCCGCCGCGCCACGTGCGCACCCTCGGGGCACCCCTCAGGGACCGCTGGGCGAACGTGGCACTGGCCGCCTGCAGTTTCCAAACCGACAGGGCGCGTTCGATTGTTCGATTTTCTCTCTCTTGCCGGGATCATTTTTGGTCCCCAGGACGAAAATAATAAAAGAAAGCGCCCGCGGGAAGGCTTTCTCCGACGGGACAGGCCCTCTTTGCAACCGCAGCCCTGCACCTGTTTTGGGCTTCTGCCTCCCTTCTTGCTCCACTCCGCAAAAACTCAAATATTTTCTCACTCCGGAGCAAGATCAGAGAGGAGAGAGAAAGGGGGAAAGTGCATGAGAAAGCGCCACTCTTGCCTCAAATTGTGGATTTGTAAAAGAGGGAAAAGTTAGGGCAGGTTTACGCCTGAGAAAGAAACCCAGAAGTGTGTGGCTTTCCCCCTCTTCCTCCCCCCAAGTGCCCCCCGAAGTCCCTTCCACTTTCACACAAGAATGTGCAGAAGAGGCACTGCGATCCCCAGGACAGAGACGGCCAGACAGGCAGAAGGACAGACAGACCGAGAAGCAGGGCACCTACTGGTTGTGGTAGCCGAGGGGGTCCGGGATGCAGAGTTCGGACACGTCCATCAGTCCCGTTTTAGCATTCCCAGTTGGTAGAGAAAGGCGGCGGGGAAATCACGCGGAAGAGCGAGTGAAGGGCACGGGCAAGGTGCGAGCCCGGGCAGGGCACAGTGAGCGCGAGAACGCAGAGTGGGAGGACGCGGCCGCGGCTGGGGAGAGGGAGGCAGAGAGCCGCGCGCACCGCCCGGCGCTCCCACTCATCCGCACGCTCCGGAGCGAGCGGGCAGAGGGGATGCGAAGCCGTGGAGGAGGCTGGGGCACCAGAGACTTGGAGCCCACTAACCCTACTGTAGCTTTAAGGCTGGGAGACTGATGTATGGTTTGGCTCCTATTGGCTATCTCTCAGGGGCTGGACTTAAAGTGACAGAATCAAGCTGGGGTGGGGGGAGGGGGGTGAGCCAGAGAGACTTCAATGGAATAAGACGCTCTCCTCTGCGCGCGAGGTTCCCACCTTCTGAGCAGTAGGAGTACTGGGTGGTAGAGCCCTAAGGCCTGCCTTCTCGCAGTTAAAGCGGGGAAAATGTCCAACTGCCAGGTGGGTCTGGGGTTGGGGGAGATTTGCTGCTTACATACCCCTGTCACCCCTACCCCATCTTTTAACTGGCAGGCCTAGCAAACTCATCTCTCAGGATTTCTGCAATGGATTTGTTTTCCAAATTAAAAATGAGTCACATTTCTCCACCCACGCACCAAAGAGAAGAGGCAGCCTCGAACCCTGTGCCGTGTGGGCAAAAGTGCAAAGGGTCGGGCCAGCAGGTGAGGCACAGCGAGAAGGCAGGAGAGAAACAGATTCCCTTCCCAGCTCTTATCACCTGGGCCAGTCAGTTCTGCACCACTCTCATATGGCTAGATGCAGGGTGCGCATCTATAAAACGTTCTCTCAATGTATGAAGTGATGCTCTCATCATTGGCAGCTCTCTGAAATGTACCCAGGACGCAGACATGAGCAAATAAATTCCTGTCTGCTTAGGAAAATACAATCGTGGTGAAAATGATCAACTTACCTGCCACATCCACTCCAAGGCATAAGCACACACTTTGAAATACACACCTGAATCCCCAGCTACAAACACCTGCATCCCCATCCGCTGCTCCCTCAGTGAACCCGAATATTATGGGCTGCCACTGTACCAAAATGAGCTGTAAGTCATGCCCCAACCCTGCTTCTGGGGTTTTTCATCTTTCGAGATGCGCCAGCCACAGCGATAATAATCAATTTGATGATTCAAATGAGTAGGGGGAGGGGGTAGGTATAGAATTATTTAAAAGGGGGAAAAAGCCCTCAGGAGAGACCACCACCCATTCTCCTATATTCTGCAGAAGACAATGAGCAGTAGGGGGGAAGACATAATTTTATCATCAAAATAATGTCTAAATGGAGTGTAACTGCAGGCAATGTTCAAGCACTTCAGGAATAAAAGCAGGGAGGGTTGTGAGAAACCCCGGGAGGGGCCAGCCGCCCGGGCAGGGGCTGGGGGAGTGGGCAGCAGGATGGCAGATGATTTTTGACTTGGATAAATGTGCTCGTGCAGGCTGGGAAACAGAGCTGAGATTTTTCACATGTGCTGAAGTGGAGGGGCGAGTGGGATTCTGGGCTCGAGGCTCAGGAAGGCATCTCACAGAGAGATGGATGAAGACGTCTCCTCTGTCAGTAGTCCCGCAGCAGCCCCCGATTTTTTAAAAAATCACACAGGCACTTCATCAGAGAAAGAAAGAGGGGTACAGAGATACTTCCCTTGAGCCTGGCTTCTACATGACCATCATCTCTCGCCAAGGCCTTAGTGACTGGTTTCTCTGCATCCTTTCTGCCCCGCTGAAATCCATTCTCCAGGCACACAGCAGCCAGGGAGCGCTTTGTAAAATGCACACCCAATGTCCCGTTGTTGCAATTAGGAAAGCGGCCCCAGTCCTTGGCCTCCAAGGAAGGCGTCCTATGACAGGTTTCTGCAGGTCCCTCTGTTCTTCTCCACAGCCCCTGCTGCCCCCGCTCTGGGCCCCAGGCTTTGCATCTAGAAGGCCTCACCTTCCATGTCACGCCAGCGCTTTCTCCGGTTCACTTTGCTTTGGGTAGTTTATCACAGTTTGCAATTGTCTGCGCACTGGCATGAATGATACGTCCCTCCTCTGCCCTTCTCTCACTGGACTGTAAGCTCCATGGGAGCAGGGACCATGTCTCTTTTTGCTCACCAGAGAATCCCCAGCATCTAAAGGTGCCTGGCACATGACAATTGCTTGATGGAGATTTTGTGGAATGAATGGGTAACCTGTAGTAGTTGTGAGTGGAATGCCACAGCCTGCTGAGTGACAGGCCACTGCCCAGGAAGGTGAGGCCCTGATGGGTTGTCTGGGGTCCCTTGACTCCTTAGTCTGTGTGGGTGCACCATTTTTAACAGGAAACAAAACACACTTGGTAGAAACAAAGTCTTCTTCATTACCTGAAAAGAAAGACCACTTCACAGCCCAGAGCAGTGGATTCAAAGCCACTGGGAGCAAATGAAAAGGAATTGGAGTCTGCGTTGGTTAAAAAACTAGGCTAATGCTTGCATACAATTATTCTCTGCCTCTAAGGTCCAGGCATAAAGGTGACCCAGGGCCTCATCTCTGGGCACTAGCTGATTGTCCCCCAGGCGGGAATCAGTTCCTGGAGACCTAGGCTTTCTCAGCCTTCCTCTGCCTGAGCCTCCTCTCACACCGCCCCAGAGCCAGATCTTTTTCTTTTCCTTCCTGACTCTGCAAGAGCAGTGATGAGGGCCAGCCGTCCGGACACCCTAGTGGCATGATCCAACTTGGCAGGCCCAGGCTCCTCCTGTGATTCTCCAGACTAATCTGCCCGGGTCCCACACTGTGAATGGCGCCCACATTTTTCCTGTTCTGCTCTCAGCCAACTCATGGAGGATGGATTCCTTCCCAAAGCCAGGGTGAGGCTCCATGCCTCTGTCTGGAGAGGCAGCAGTGTGGGACAGTAAAGGACTCTGGGATCGGGTCCCGACTTCTCCGTGTGACCTTGCCAAAACCATCACTTCTCCAGAAAACGAAGGCTCTGCAGGGGTGGGGTGGGGTGGGCAGGGTTCTTGGCTTTCTTCAAGCCTAAAATGCAGTCGACCAATCATGATTTCTTTCACTGCCCACCTGAGAGCAGGGGCTACTTGTAATCCATGCCCAGCAAGAGCTCTAAGCCACCCCTTCACTACCCTCCGCCCCAGTACTGGCACCCCCAGGTGGGCAAGTCAGCTGAAAGTAAGGGGACAAAAGCTATGAGACACAGTAAGTGTGGAGGGTGTAAGGTGACAGCAGCTTACGCTGTTTTTATGACAAACATCTTTAAATTGATATTCATTACATTCACAGAACCTTACAGCTAGGAGGGACTCAGAGAATCATTTAGAATCATCAGCAGATTTGACAAAGGAAATTTGTAAATTTCCCTGTGTCGTGAAGTGACCTACCCAAGGTCACACAGAGAATATCTGGCAAAGCATGCCATCTGCCATCTGTGGTCATTGGACTTCTACTTATTCAATTCCTAAATCTTAAAAGACAAGTCTCTTTTCTTTCTTTCTTTCTTTTTTTTTTTTTTTTTTTTTTAGACAAGGTTTCACTGTGTTGGCCAGGATGGTCTGGATCTCTTGATCTTGTGATCCGCCTGCCTCAGCCTCCCAAAGTGCTGGGATTACAGGCATGAGCCACCGCGCCCAGCCTTCTTTCTTTTTTTTTTTTTTCCTTCCTTCTTTCCTTACTCTCTCTTTCTTTCTCTTTTTCTTTCTCTCTCGCTCTCTTTCTCTTTCTTTCTCTCTTTTTCTTTCGTTCTTGCTTTCTGTCTCTCTCTCTCTCTCTCTCTTTCTTTCTTGACAAGGTCCAGCTCTGTAGCCCAGGCTACAATGCAGTCACGCAATCTCAGCTCATTGCAATCTCTGCTTCCCAGGCTCAAACCCTCCTCCTACTTCAGCCTCCTGAGTAGCTAGGACTATAGGCATCCACCAGCACACCTCGCTAATTTTTGTTTTTGTTTTGTTTTGTTTTGTTTTTGAGACAGAGTCTCGCTCTGTCACCACACGCCAGGTTGGAGTGCAGTGACGTGATCTTGGCTCACTGCAACCTCCGCCTCTGGGTTCGGGCAAGTCTCCTGCCTCAGCCTCCCGAGTAGCTGGGACTACAGGTGCACACCACAATGCCCAGATAATTTTTGTATTTTTAGTAGAGATGGGGTTTCACCAAGTTGGCCAGGATGGTCTCGATCCCTTGACCTCGTGATCCACCTGCCTCGGCTTCCCAAAGTGCTGGGATTACAGGCATGAGCCACTGCACCCGGCCTAATTTTTGTATTTTTAGTAAAGACGGGGTTTCATCATGTTGCCCGGCCTGATCTAGAACTCCTGGCCTCTTATGATCTGCCTGTGTTGGCCTCCCAAAGTGCTGGGATTATAGGCATTAGCCACCATGCCCAGCCACACTGCTTTTCCTACCCACTACTTCTCTGAGTTTGAGCTCTTTCTTAAGAAATATCAAGACAAATAAGAGCTGTCCAGGCCAGGCATGGGCTCACACCTGTAATCCCAGCACTTTGGGAGGCTGAGGCAGGCGGATCACATGAAATCGGGAATTCAACACCAGCCTGACCAACATGGAGAACCATGTCTCTACTAAAAATACAAAATTAGCAGGGCATGGTGGTGCATGCCTGTAATTCCAGCTACTCAGGAGGCTGAGGCAGAGAATCTCTTGAACCCGGGAGGGGGAGTTTGCAGTGAGCCGAGATCGCACCATTGCACTCCAGCCTGGGCAACAAGAGCAAAACTCCATCTAAATAAAACAAACAAACAAAAACCTGTTCAATACAACGTGCTCCACCCACTGTCTTTACCCAGTGCACAGTGAGGACACAGGCTTCTGTGTTCACACCCTTCCCCTAGCGGTTTCCTGGGAGGAGAAAAGGAAGCACTGGTTGGTAGATGCCAAAGTCATAGGCTGCTGTCCTACCATGAACAATGCTCCAGGTGACAGATAATTAGGAAAAATATTCATACACAGCCTCCCCTGCTCTGTCCTCATGCCTCTATTTCCCCGGGTACAAAAAGCACTGAATATGTCAGAGATCTAGACAAACCCAGGTCTCTTCTAAGCATCCACCACCACAGCCTGCCTAAGTCCTCAGGGTACGCCATCCTACCCCAGGGCCTAGATCTCAGGGGTCACTAGAGCGGTCTCATCATGATCTATGCAGGCAAACCCAGCACAGCATTTCTTGCCAAAGGTCGGGTGAAAATCTCTGCTCTTAACACAGCC